GGGTGAGGCCCTCACACATCTCTCAACAATCGAGAAGATGCCCCACAGACATGGCCACAGGCCAGTTCAATGAAGGAAATTCCCCAATTGAGGCTACCTCAACCCAGGTGTGTCATGTGGACAACTAAAGCTACCCAGCACAAGTGTCAAACATTATGAAAGTATCTTTGTGATATATTGGTTTGGAGGCCATTGGGTAAACACCTAGGAGTGGAATAACTGGGTCATATAGTAGACCTATTTCTAGTTTTGTGAGAAACCTCATACTGATTTCCATAGTGACTAGACTAGTGTCTGTCAACAGAGAAATGGATAAAGAAAATGTGATATATACATAAATATGTGTATATATAACATATATAAAATGTATAAAATGGAGTTTTTCTCATTCATAAAGAACAAAGTCATATCTTTTGCAGGAAGATGAATGCAACTGGAGATAATTATATTAAGTGAATCAAACCAAATTCAGAAAGACAAATATCACGTTTTTCTCTCATTTGTGAATACTAGACTTTACATAGAAATGTAAAGTAGTGTACGCATACACACACACACACACACACACACACACATGCACACACACCATAAAAGTACAATGAAACTGTCTAGGGAACAAAAGGGACAAGCTGGGGACTGGGGCGCTCTCTCAGTCAGTGAAGTGCAGGGGGCTCAATGGTCAGTTAGCTCTGCCTACTTGGTGAGCTTCAGGCCAATAAGAGAGCTTTTCTCAGAAAACAAGGTGGACAGTGACTGAGGAACGACACTCTGAGGTTGACCTTTGGCCTTCAAATATGTGTGCATACACACTTGCATACACATGAACACACACACACACACACACACACACAGCAGCAGCAGCAACAGAAAAAGAGACTAAAGGAGAAGGTAAGGATAAGAAAGGGCAGAAAATTATGGGGAAATAGGTCAAAGTATGTTATGTACTTGTATGAACATGTATAATGAATATAAACTGTAAAATGAGTATAAACTAATAAGTAAAATAATTGAGAGTCAAGGTAGGTGAACCAAATTTGACAGCATCATGACACCTTTAGTTCAGTGATTATTCCAAGGACTAAATTTATGTGACCACAGTAGACTACTTGGTTTTTATTCTCCTTGGCTGGGCTTGGTATATATAACCTTTCTGCTTGAAGAAAACAGAGAAAGGACCCTATTGTATTCAAATAATAATTAAGGACACCTGTGTTGATTAGCTACATTGTTGATCTAATTATTGTGGCTCTGAGTAAAGAATATAGACCTCTTTTTTCTGAATAAGTGCCTTATTGACCCTTTCCTTGTAGCCCTTCATCACTTAATGCCCACATGTACTAATTTCAAAAAGAGTAATTTGCCTTTAAAGACTGATAATTTCAACTAACTGTTTTGATCAAGGGAGGATTTATAAGTCCTTGCCAGTTGGGTTAATTGCTCATTCAAGGCCTTTAATTGTTCCCTAGCTAACTTATTTTTAAGAGGCATTTGAACTAGCCTTTCTTTTGCTTATTAGGTGCTTGGCAGCTTCCCAAAGTAAGCAAGGGTTGGCATCTGCTGTGTGGTACTCAGTGACTGGGGACTTTCGCCTTCACATGCTATCCTTCACTATCCTCTTTGGCTCTCAAGGTCCAGGTTTCTTCTTTCCTGGAGTCTCCTTCCCTTCCAAACAGGATAATAACACAACACACAACTTTAGTGGCCCAAGTTAGGCTTAGGATAGATCATCAGCTTTGATTTTTTTTTGTTTCTTAAAAGTTTAAAAAAAAATTATTTATTTTTACTTTATGTGCATGAATGTTCTGTCTGCATGCATATAAGTGCACCATGTGTGTGCAATGCCTGAAAAGGCCAGAAGAGGGTATCAGATACCCTGGAACTAGAGTTATGGATGGTTGTTAGCTGTCATGTGGGTGCTGAGAACTGAACCTAGGTCCTTCTCAAGAGCAGCCACTGCTCCTGAATGCTGAGCCATCTCTCCAGCTCCTTTTCTTGGTCCTTGTTGAACCATTTGGATGTGAACTCAGAAAATGGTTGTCACATGTTCAGTGTAAGAACTGGGTGGTGTCTTACTCTATTTTCTTTTGCTATAATGAAATATTTGAGACTGAATAATTTATAAAGAAAAGGAATTCATTTAACTCACAGTTCTGGAGGCTGGGAAGTACAAGGGCATGGCTTTGGTATCTGCTTAGTATCTGATAGGTCCCTTGACAGATGGCAAGAAGAGAGAGAACATACAAGAAAAGAGAGAGAGAGAGAGAGAGAGAGAGAGAGAGAGAGAGAGAGAGAGAGAGAGAGAGAAAACAGTGCCAAGGACAGGAAAGGCACTCAAGCATATTGTTTTTTAGCTACATCAGAACAAAGAGCACCAAAGAGCATGTGGGAGGGAGAGGTGAATTCCGTGCTATCTTTGAAACCCAGGGGAGAGAAGCCGACATTTGTAGCAGAGCTACAGAAAGGACACAAGAGTTTGCCCAGTATAGAGGTTTACAGATGCTTTTCAGGTTTCTGATTAAAAAAGAAACCAAAACAACCAGTTTCAAAGGCATAATCAAAATGGAAATGTATTAACCTGGGACCGAGAGAGGAGAGTATAGATAAGGCTAAAATGCATTTAAATGGCCTAAAGCTCTTTTCTATGCATTTACCCAGCACCCCGGGATTGCCTTCTTACACAGCTCTACAGAGTGTTAGGTAGTCTGCATGGAAGGCTTTAAAGTCTTGGGCAGAATGCAGCTATGCAGATCCACAGGGTCGGCATGAGTGCAAAGGGGCATGGTGGCAGCAGACACAGTCCCAGGGCTGCTGGCTGCCCTGTCCTGGGGACCAGCAGACATCTTCTTTACCTGGGGTGAAAAAGAAGATTAGCTGCCACTTGTCACTGAGGATGCTGCTTCCTCACAGGACCAGACACACTCCAGTTCTTGTTTTATTCTTTTGACCCTTGTTTGTCTCTTCCTTTTCCGCTAAGGGAGCAATCACCCTCACCCCCCTTTTTATTCCAAACCCTTTAATTCAAGGTGTGTATGGGGGACATTTAGGGTGATAGTATAGGCCAACCTACCACTAGCAAAGGCAGAAATCTCTTGAAGTCCCTATTTATTCTGCAGAAATGGGACAATAGTACCCATGTCTAGTGCATGCTCACAGCTAGGATCATGGTGGAAGTATTGGGTTTGGAGGTAGAATAAGTGTCTCCTAATTAATTAATTTATGGTAAGCCAGTTCTTATTTTTTGAAGCTATGCCATCTCCATTTTAAAAATAAACTATCCTAAAAAACAAAGACGGTTATTTGTGAGGATCAACTCACTGACGTGGAAGTGCTTCAACGCTGGTAGAGCTCTTGACAAACGTTGGCTGTTGTCACTATTTTATGGGGCATAGTGGGGTCCCAAGTTGTCAGGCAAGTGGAATTCTGAGACAGGCACTTAAGTTGCTTGTTCTAAGAAGTGTTGGTTTCTCACTTGGGCCCACAGGGTGACTAAATGAAGGGTAAGAGCCTGGTGTCTCTGCCTTCCACTCACATCTGGCCCCTTTACTCTGGGTTGCCTGCTTAGCTCTGCAGGTTGGCGTGCTATTCACTCAAGGAGTGTCCATCTAACGTAGCTCATCTCTCTTCAAGGCTGAGGGTGGAGAATTGAATCATTGTTCTAAACCCACCATCAATTGGATTCCAGGAAGAGCAAACCTTGCCGATTAGACCATTTCCCAGATGAGGGCAACTGTCCACGAGGAAGAGACTGTAGCCCAAAGCAGAAGTAATCATCTCCTGAGAGCTGGCTTGCCCCCTCACAAAATCAGGTCTTCTTTGGACCACTTAATCAGAACTGAGACAGCCATTCCATACATTGATCAGAATTCCTCAATTACGCCTACCTGTGGTGTCCTACCCCATTCTTCCTCTATGTGTTAGATACCTAACACAGTACCCTGCCTGAAGGTGGACTTGGGGTCAGTTGACCCCTTTACCTGTTCCTCTTTCCAGTGTGACCACACTGAACAAATCTTTCTTTGCCTTACACAGTTATTCATCTCTTTAATTGGTATATTGGTACTGGTGGCCAAGCCTAGTCTGCTGGGTTTGCCAGAACCTAGGCTTTTACTTGAAACACTCTGGCTATAATACAGGATTCTACAGTAATCTGTCCGTTGTATAAATGTAAACATTTGTTTCCTTGGAGCCATCCGTTTATCTAGCAATCAACAAGTAGTTTTACTTGGGTGCCTGCTGAGTTTCAGGTGAATCTGAATCTAGGAAACTGGGTCAGGTAGGGGAAAGAGATAAGAAATAAGCAAACAAACAATTGGATTTGTAATCTCAAGTTGCTATGTGCTATGAAGGGACCAACAGGGCTGAGGTGGAGATACTGTGACGTGAGCTGCCCAGAGCTGTTTTCGACTCTTACTTCCCCTAGTGATGAGTAATGGCTTTGAGTGGTAAAGGGGTCTTGTTACATCCTGGGTCTTTCCCCCATCCATGATTAGACCTGAGCGTTTCTCAGACTCTTGAGAGTTCATTGTATTGTAGATGAGCTGTCTGCAGCCACTCAGAGGTTGCTGCTGGCTTTCTGTTTCCAGGTGAGGAGCACATCCCAGGGGTTGTGGGATCTGACATCACTGTGTTTCCTACTGTTTACATCTCATCCCAACAGGGCTGAATGCCTACGGAAAGGACTATATATAAACTTCCCTGCCACCAAGGACTCTGCAGGGGCTATGTATGGGTGAGATAGAGGGAAGAGACTGGGCAGAGACAACAGGGGACTTTGCTGGTATCTGCAGCAACAGGACCAGCTTCTGGGATGCCTGTACCCAAGCCTGCAAGCTGAGTAATGCCAGAAACAGTGGCTGGGGGCCTGGCTAGACTTTATCAGGAAGCTAAGGAAGCCTGCTTCCTTCTTAGGCAAGCTTGCCTGGGACAACTTGGCGCTGTCTTGGACAGCCCACTCAGCACCTGCCTTCTGGATCAGGCATCTCTCAGGAGAGCCAGCAGGAAGCGTGTTGGCATTTACTTCCTTTCTCAGCTTAAAAACTCTCTCTTCTGAAGCAGATCAAGTAAGTGCTGTGATGCAGATCTGGGGAATCACATTTAGAGATGAAGGGTAAGATGCAAATGTCAGGGGTTCACATTCTCTTGCTCCTTGGGGTGGGGGGTTTGGGGGTTGGGGGAGGGAGTGGGGAGCTCTCATGGTTAAGTTATGACTGGAGAGTCTGTGAGGAACAGGGAGGAAACCCTGGTCTGGGAGTCCAAAAATCAGGACTCTGCTCTTAACCAGATTGTAAGCCACTTCACCTCTTGTCATCAGCCCTCTACTTGTAAAATACAGGGCATGGATGATGTAAATGATGCCCCTAGGTCTTTCTAGATCAAATAATTATATATATATAAAAATTATTTTTATTATTTTTTAAAATGTGTATTAGTATATTGCCTGCATGTAGGTAAGCACACCCATGTCGTGCAATGCCCACGGAGGACAAAAGAGGCCATCAGATCCCCTGGAACTGGAGTTATGGACAGTTGTTAGCTGCCATGTGGGTGCTGGGATTCGAACCCAGGTCTTCTGCAAGAACAACCAGTGTTCTTAACCGCTGAGCCATCGCTCCAGCCCCAAATAATATTTTTACACAATATATTTAGATGTAGTTATTGAAAACAAGAAAACAACATTGAAAGATTTTTGTTTTTTGAGGCAGGGTCTTTCCAGGGCCCCAGCTGGCCTGGAAGTTGATATGCAGATTTGCAGGCCAGGCTGGCCTGGATCTCACAGAAATCTGCCTGCCTCTGTCTCCTGAGTCCCTGGCTCCCTGTGCCACCACACCTGGCTCCAGACTTTGTTCTTGGGTTGCTGTCACTTTTGAAGAGTGGCTAGGAAAGAAAGATGAGAGTTAAGTTGTTTGTCAGTGAGAAAACATGTAGCCCCACAGTTACCATAGATTGGAGGCTTAAAATTCTTTGTGACTGACATTTAGTTTCTGTTGAACTGAACAATTGTCAACTCATGGCCACCCAGCTGTGTCATTTATACACTGACCAATAGAGAGCTCTGGTGAATCATGTTTTCACCAGCATTTGGTCATGCATTTTGATTTTTCCATTCCAGTGGGAATACAGTAATATTTTATTGTTGTTTTAATTCATGCTTTCCTTACTTAAGTCTAATGATGTTGAGTGTGCCTGTTGGACATCATGTGTGCATCTAGTTATGTGTCTGCATGCATTTTGTACATATATGTGTGCTGTAAGTAGTTATTTCCAGTTAATGATTTGTCTTTTCTTTTTCTTGGTGTCATTGATGAACAGAATTTTTAAATTGTTTAATTTTGCTGGTAAGTGGATCTTGATTCTAACTCAAAAAGATTTTGGGAACTGGAGAGTGGCTTAGCAGTTAAGAGAGCATATTGCTCTTGTAGAGTTTGATTCCCAGTACCCATGTCAGGCAGCTGACAATTGCCTGAACTCCAGCTCTGGGGGATCTGATCTGATACCCTCTTCTGGACTCAGTGCTCACCTGCACTCACATGTGCACATGTCCGCACAGAGATCTACACATTTGTATATAATCAAAAATATAATACATCTTCAAAAGATTTTGCCAAAATTGAAATCTTGAAGACGATTCCCTAAGTTTTCTAGAAGTGTTGTGATCCCATGGTTTGCTTTTAGGCCTCCAATCTTTTGTTTGCATTCGGGTTCATTTATTCTACTGGATGCGCCTTGTTTGTTCCAGCAACATTTGGCAAAAGAACTGGTTTGGTAAAATCAACTTGTAGAACTTCTGGTTGATGTGTGATTAAGTTTCGAGCTCCATATTTTGTTCATTTATCTGGGTGTCCTCATCCAGTGCTGTGCTAGAATGGTCTCTATAGCCTTACAGAAAGCCTTGAGGGCAGGTGGTATAAGTCCTCATCATGCTTCTCCAAGATGATGTTGGGTCGACAAGATGCTCTGATCTTCCCTGTACATTTCAGCATGATCTTCTCTGTTTTCAAAATGGGTCATTGGTGTTTTTATGTCTAACTTTTAAGCATCAGTTCAAGAAGGTGAAATAGTTGAATAATATTGATCCCTTTGTTTCAACAAGCATGACATTTCTCTCTGTTTATTTAGTCCTTTTATAACTTCTCTCAGGAATGTAGTTTTGTAATACAGTTTTCAGTGTAGGGGGTCTTATTATATCAGAAATGTTTGATATTCCTATTCCATACATTTAAAAATTATTTTTTTTGTGGTACTGGATACCAAACAGGGCTTATGCATGCTATGCAAACCTAACACTGAGCTACATCCCCAGCCTTTATTTTCGTTTTTTGGTTACAATTGTATAGACAAATATCCTAGACAAAAATTCTGAAGGATTCACTCACATCACCTCACAAAGGTCCTATAATTCAAATACCAATACTGTAACCTGCAGTAGAAATGTGAAAGTCAATGTAAGCATTTTTTAGTTCCTTTTGCACCAATTTAGTAGTCAGCTAATGATGACTATGGATTGGCTGCCCGATTTTGTAAATCAGGTGTCCTGGAATCCAGCCATACTCAATGGCTGATTTCCCTCCACAGTGGCATAGCTGCGGAGACACCGCAGAGTCTATGGCTGGAAAGCCTGAAATTTGGCCTAACTTTTAGAAGCAGTTTGTTGATCCCTGCCCTAATTTCTCAGTGTGTGCAGGGATGGCACCCTGGGAGGTATCACACCTTGGCAGCTGTTTTGGACATAGTTGAACGTTTAGTCATGTTCCTGCCCTGTTAGGAGATACTGGTAGCAAGTCTCTTCTCTTCTGATAATAAAAAATGTCTCCAGGTACTGTCAAATGTGCCCTGGAGTCAGAAATACCGCCATTTGAGAACTAATTCCATGAGGTATTGGGCTAAGCTGTAAAATTACTCTGATATTGTAATGCTGTGGTGAACATGGAGTGCAGTATCTCTTTAAGATTCTGCTTTCAACTCTTGGTTATGTATCCCAAAGTGGTATTTGCTGGATTTTGTGGCAGTTATATTTTTAGTTTTGTAAAAGAACCTCCACGCTGTTTCCACAGTGACTGTGCCATTGTGCGTGCCAACAACAGTGTACAAAGATCACGACTTCCCCACATCCTCACCAACATTTGTTAACTTTTTAAAAATAAGAGCCATCCTAACAGGGGTGAGGTGGTGTCTCACTGCAGTTTTGATTTGTATTTTGCTGCTGACTAGTAATGTTAAGTATGTTTTAGAGACTCGTTGCCTATTGGTATATCTTCTTTTGAGAAATGCTTATTCAAGACTGTTGCTCATTTTTAAATGATTTGTTTATTAACTGTTGAGCTGTAGGAGTTTCTTATGTGTTTTGGATATTAACCCCTTACTGGATGTATGGTTTATGACTGTTTTCCTTTGTTCCGTAGGTTGCCCTTTCACTCTGCCAGTTGCTTCCTTTGTTGCTCAGAAGCTTTTTAGTTTTATGCAGTTCTAGTCACCTGCTTTTGCTTTTGTTCCCTGTCCAGCTGGGAAATCGTTTCCAATTCCAATGCCATGAAGCCTTTCTTCTGTTTCTGTGTGTGTGTGTGTGTGTGTGTGTGTGCGTGTGTGTGTGCAGGTCAAATGTGTGTGTGGACGCCAGATGTGTGTGTTGGAGGCCAGATGTCTCTCTCCACTTTATTTTTGAGACAAGGTCTCTCACTGGTTTGAACCTCACTGATTCAGCTATACCTGCTGTATGTATACACAAATAGTCACATACACAAACATACACATGTATGCACACATATGCGCAAGTGTACACGAATAAGTGTGTATGTGCATCTGATCGTGTATAGACATTACATATATATGAGTACATGTTTACATGATCATGATTCTGCATATGAGTATATATGTTTGTATGTACATGTAGGAGTGCATTTGTATGCCTGTATCTGGATGATTTAGCACATGCCCGATGGGCTATCATAGGTGCCTTCTTTATTTTGTCAATTGTTGTCAGTTCCAGTAAGAAATATATGCCAACACAGTGGAGGCAATTAAGGAGTCTTTGGTGAAAGGACTGTTTACAATGGTGTAGGCAAGACTAAGGGAAATTAATAAGGTGCACTACTCCAGGGCCAGGATTCTAGGAGTCACTACTGCAAGGAGAGGGGGTTGTTTTGATAGGCAAGAGACAGCATCTTCATGGAGAGGGGGTTCTATGCATGGCCTGTGTTAGAAGAATGCATCCAGCTCCTCTGACCTGGTAGGGGCTATTCGCAATCAAAACCTTACTTCCCTTCTTCCTTCCAGTATTCAGTTGGAGTTTTTCAATGTCCAGATATAACTGAAGCCAGAGGCCAAATATGGGAAGACATCAGTGTGGTCTATACTGTTATGCTGTCCTAGCCTCTGCGAGAAGAGCAGCACGAAGATGGGTGAGGGTTGGAATTGAAAGGGCAGAGGAGAGGTCATCGGCATTGGCTGATTTCAACTACTGTGTGGAGGAAGGAGACTGTCTATGGAATACTCACCATCTGCTAGGCTCTGTGTTAGATCCTTTACCTACTTTATTCTTGTGGTACAACTTTCCTTATCCTGTGCTTCAGAGAAGGAGACAGATTGACTTACCCCAGGCCAGAAGTGAGATTCAAAAATCTGTTCTGGTTTATTTCAAAGTCATTGCTCTGATCATTATACCACGCTGACCCTAGTAATTCATGTTCTGCCTGGTGCCCAGGGAGGCTCTGGGGTTAGCAGATAAACAGAAGGAAGACTTCAGTGCTGCTCTAAGTGAACAAATCTTTCCTGAAACAATTAGAAGGCAGTGAAGATGTGACAAGATCAAAGAAGTTGTCTTCTGTGGGCCAGAGGGGAACATGGAATTAATGACAATCTGTTTACCGTGGTGGGTGCTGGGGACCAAGGGTGACCCAGTGAGTCAGCACCTGTCAAGCCTCTTCTCAAGGTATTTTTTTTAGCTCTTACATGAATACACACTGTATCAATTTACATTTCCATCAACAATGGATTAGAATTTCCTTTTCTTTGCATCCTTACCAGCATCTACTATTTTTTGTCTTTTTGAAACTAGTCATTCTAACTGGGATGAGATACCCTTTTTTTCAAGGTTTCTCTGATGATTAGTAAAATCCTTTTCCAGTAAAATCTTCTTATCTGGGCTCTTAAGGGTCCTTAGTTGGAGTTGTATTTCAGCATAATTGTTTTCCCAATTCTAACACAGTGCATTTAATTATGGAACATGGGCCTCACTGGACTGGCATGGACATCTGCTACTTGTGAGGTGAAGAATCCGTCTGTGACAATGACTTCCACATTGGCTGGTTAAGAGGATTTTGGCTTTAATGGGAGCATGAATAGAAATCATGTCTCTTGTCTAGGTCTAGAGGAGGATGACATGTGATGTTCAACCTCACTTTTCTCGAGGGTCGAGGAAAAAGCAATGCTCTTCATTAAGCAGAACAGAACATAGTAAACAGGATTTCCAATAGCCATGTCGTTCAAGAAACACGTGTAAGTAAATGTCAGATGCTGTAAAAGTGAAAGTAAGGGAGTTTCCATAGCCGTGTTCCCCCTTCCCCTTTCTCTGTATCCTTGCTGTGTTGTGATGTGTGGGTCAATATTTCTACCAGGTGCTTTTGAGATAGAATAGGAATGGAAGAATGCAAGGCATTTCTTTTTATTCAGTTGTTTTTAATTATGTGTATATGTGTGTGTCTGTGTGGGGGTATGTGCACGTGAGTGCGGGTACCTGTGGAGGCTAGAGGCATTGGATCCCCTGGAACTGGAGTTACAGGTGGTTGTGAGTCACCTGATGTGGGTACTGGGAACTGAACCTGGGTCTTCTGCAGGAGCAGTATGCTGTCTTAACTGCTGAGCCATTTCTCCAGCTCCTCAAGGCATTTCTGATCTTATAATATTTTAATCATAGAAAGACACACTCATAGAGCCATGGAGTAAGAACAGATCAGACTTCAGGTGATTTAGTTTCCCTGTCTCTTATGTAACTTGAGTGAGAGATGGTTATCTGACCCTATCTGACATGCCAGCGATGGAGTGCTCAAGACCATACAGGTCCTAAACACAGTCTTAATTTAGCAGTAACGAAACAGTAGTAACAGAAGCACCATTGACTGAATACTTAATGTTTGCCAGCTACTGTGGTAGACACACTACAATACATGCCATTCCTGTCACAGTGTTTAAACAGATAACCTTATTCAATCCTTATAATTAGTTTAGGATAGATGGATGAACTGAATCTTAGTATTTTTCTTCCTAAGTATGATCATGTAATAAAATATTTTCTCTGCAGTCTATCTCCTTTTTCCATTCAATAGAACATCATGGAAATCTCTGCAAGTTAAGTGCTTTCATCCAAATTCACCTTTAGAAGTGGCATAAAATACTGAGACCCCAATGTACCTTATTGCATTCAAACATTTCTATATCTTTGGGTATGTTCTTTGTTTCTAGATTTATTTTTTTTTTGCTTTTTGTTTCCAGGAACAATACTACAAAGCACATTCTTATAGATATAACCTTATGAAGGATTTCAAATGCTAACAGATGTTGTCAGATTGCTTACAGGAAAGGCTATAGCAATCTACAGTCTCACTTAAAAGTTCTTCTGTAATTCTTTGGAAAGCACACAATAGATCAAATTTAGATAAAGCAAAACATAGCTTCTCCCTGGATAAGTACTGCCCCATGCAGTTTCCAAACTCATAATTTAAGCTGATTGTGATGTTGGACTTCAGGAGAATGATTCTGAGAGGGATCACATTTATGGACTGTAAATCCACATGTGGTTTGTCAGAATGCCCTCCAATAGAGGCTGAACTGGCAAGGATCATTTTATAGCTCAAAACCAGAGGCTTCTTACTGCAGAAGCACATTCAGTTCACACCTCACCAGTGAGGTAGGCAAGTTCCATGGCACTGTCTTTCCGGAACCCTGAAGGTGCCCCCTAGACAGCACGGCCTCTGGCCCTCCTTGTTTTGACCTGCCTCTTACCTGGCTTTGGGAGGCAGCTTTAGGTAGCTCTCACATTGCTAGAAAGGAGGCGTCTTCTTGGTGTTCCCTCACTAACTGACATGAGGTGGTTCTGGGAGGTAGAATGGCACTGTTAAGAAATGAAGTTATCCTTCACTCAGAGTAGGTTTTCCCCTCTACAGACAACGAGGCAAATTCAGTGGGTCCTTAATGTGGTGAAAACCAACATGGGCTTATTACAGAACACACTGTTAGCTTTGTGGGATATAAGTTACACTATAGCTCAAGTTGTTTGTATTAAATTGACTAAATTGCTTATTAACAAATAAAAAGGTATTATCTCTTCCCACAAAGCTCAACACAAGACATATAAATGGACATATAATTTCTCCTTAGGAAACGTGCTCTGAAGCTCTGAGAGGTGATGGCCCTTGAAAAACTGAGGGAAAAGGAGTTCTAGTTGTAATTTTTAATATGGCCACTAGATGGCAAAATTGTCTCACAGTCATTAAAACCACATTGTTCAGGTAGAGACAAAGGCACAGGCTGCCCAGTAAGAAAACTACGCAATGGTATATGTGGAAGATACTTCTGAAATCACCTAGTTTATTCTATATTTTAATTGCACACGTGACACAGAAATGTATTCTACTTGTAAAGGATTCATGCTTTATATATATTTCCCTTCCCTTCCTCTTCTCCTTGCTAAGCTTGTTTCCTACCCCAAAGAAAATCAGGCTTTAATACTTCAGGGGTATTGCTGTATGGCCATTTCTATGCAGACATGCACATGTCTTTGAACATGTATGCATACATCTTTTCCTTGTGGTCTTTTTGAGGCAGGGTCTCCCTGTAGCCCCAGCTGACCTGAAACTTGTTATGTAGACGAGGCTGACTTTCAACTCACAGAGATCTGTCTGCCTCGGGCTCCCCAGTGCTGGGATTAAAGGCGTGCACTGCCACACCATGCTCACATCTTTTCTTAATAAACATTCCTGCCACCTCCTCATTTTGTAAGTATAGACAGCATGAGGTTGGACAATGTTAGTATTGTTTTGTGGGAAGAGCCTGTCCCAAGTTTTAAATTTTGACTTTGCAGTAGTGGTTACTCAGTTTGGTCAAACTTTGAAGCCTTCATCAAGCCTCTATTAGCTCATTTGACAAGCCATTAAGGTCTCCTAAATCAGATCGGTGTAGCAGACAGCTCTAGGTCAGTGACTGGCAGGTAGAAGACTAGTCCTTTCTCCTTGCCTGGGGAACACAATTGTTTGCTCTGTTAGAAGGAACTTTTCCTTTTCTCTCTTTTTTTTTTTTTTTTTTTTTTTTTTTTTTTTTGTCAAGCACACACAGCCCATTAGGGAAAGGGCACAGACTTCTTTACCTTGCATCTTCTAGGACTTTCTGAAGCTGATCATGTGAGCACACAGAGAACATGTGATCACATCAGTCAGGCTCCAGTTTTAATGACCCAGCAGCCCAGAAGCAGGAGTCTAACCAATGCTAAGGCCTTCCCTGGTCAGCCACTGAGTGTCTTGGCTTGGTCCAAGCTCAGGAGAAGGGTTATGTTTGTCAGCCAGAGGGAAATGCCAAGCACAAAATGGAATTCAGAAAGGTCGAACGAATGAGGCTCAAGTTCAGACTCAGTTCAGGCCTGTAAATTAGTGCCAACTTCTAAATGATCTGTGCTTGAGTTTCCTCACCTGTAAAACTGGAAGGATGAGTCAGGGCCCCACTGAAGTTATGCTGGAGCAACAGTCAAGAAGCTCGGAGCCTGCAGTGCTTCCTGCCATGGTGCTGCCTCAAGCTCTGTGCAATGGGACAAATGGAACAGAATGAAACCCTTCTCCCTGCCCCAGCTTTCTATTCCCTGGCTCCACACTGGCTCCTTTTTTTAAAGTGGTCTGAAGGTGGATCTACATAGATCAGACTGAGGAAACAGCCCAAGCTGCTTGCTGACCCAGACATGAATGGGATAGCATGCCCACCACACTTTAAATGTCCCACTTTGAGCTCTATGTAACAATCCCGGAAATCTCCTCTGGTCCCTTTAGAAACCATTTCCAACTAAATATTTGAAAGTGCACGCTCAGCCATCAGTGTGCTGCTCTGTTGTAGTGTTTGCACCTCACAGCAGTCATATTTGAAAAGTAGCAGGTGATTGTTGTATTAAAAAGAAAAGACCAGGGACTGGAGAGGTGGCACCGGAGTTAGGAGCACTGGCTGCTCTTGCAAGGACCTGGATTTGAGTCCCAGCACCTGTAGTTAACAACCGTCTGTAACTCCAGTTCCAGGAAATTCAATGTCTTCTTCTGGCCTCCATGGATATTGTATGACTTGAGTGTACTTACAATATGCAAGCAAAACACCCATACTCATAAAAAACAATTTAAAAACTAACATTAAAAAACCAACATAATCTTAATTTTTTCCACTAAAATCCCCAGCAGGATCCAAAGAAACAGCTTATCCATTTCGGTTGGGAAAAGTTTCCTGGGAATTAAACTGACTGAGGAAGAAGCTAGCTGGTGGCAGCAGGTCCTCAGGTTGGATCAGCAGCCCTGCAGTTGATTGAATTGTCCTCCCTCCCTGGAGACCAAGTTGCGGCAGGTGAGGCTGTTCCTCTCCTCTCTCTTTCCCTGAGAGCTGTTGAATGAGCGACAGCTCCTTTTTCTTCCGTTTCTTGCAGATGTGAATGTCTCTTAGGGCTACCACACATCTTTCTTGGGAATAGAGAGGCACTCAGTAGCCTGCTCAGAGACCACAGCCTGTGGAGTTATCTGTACCTTGTTCAGCTGTTATTACACAATGGGAATTGTCTATTTCCATGGTTCTCATCCTGCGCATGTTAACTCTGAGGCATGTTGTGGGGTCCCTGGGACAGGCTTTAATGAGGCCATCTCTGGAAATCCCTGGACTCATGTTTTCAGAAAGCCTGGATGATATCTCCGGAGATGAGAAGGGTTTATTTTCCATGCAGGTTGAAAGGATGAAGGAACAGATGTAGAATCCTTTAGTTTCTCACTATTTTCAGTGTATATTGAAGATTCAACAAGACTGATTGACTGTTTAGAACTTCTGTGACTGTGGAGAATTGGAATGTTGCAGATCTAGAGCCAAGTTATCTGGGGCCATCTTCAGCTCCTTTAATAACCATTCATTACCCAACTCTGAGTCTGACCTAGAAATCTTTGTGTCGGGATTTAATACATCCTTTTGGGATGTATTAAACTTCACAGACAACTAGCTTTCACCAACCCAAAGGCTAAGGGATGCTATAAGCTCTCATCCGGGGCCTATAGCAGAGATTTCCTTGCTGTGCTGTAACCTTCCTACCTGGTGTTATTATCCACATATTTGAAAAGTACTTTGATTTCTGACTTTCTTTTGTTCTGTAACTATAAAAATTTCATGAAACTTTGGCCATATTGGAACACAGTGTTTGTGGTGACCTGAGTTCATGTTCCAAGGCCATGTTCACTTGTCTTTGACCCCAGAATGAACTACCTCCATCCTCGTGGGGGTGAGAGCTGTGTTTTGCGTTGCTGAATGCTAGGATGGGTTGCTGTGTGCTGACCAAGAATGACCATCGCCCTGTGGCAGCTTTCCTTCTACTGTAGGCAGGCGAGGGCAGGACGCAGATTCAGGCTTTGGGTTTTAAATGTCTCTCACTATGATGAAAGTACTGAGCTTTCTAATGGAAAGGCAATTTGATGACACACTGAAGCTATGGAAGAAAGCTTTTACACCCCAGCAGACTGGAATTAAATCAACTTTGACCGTCTCCCTTGAAGAGGCTTGGAAGAGTGAGTCATTTTTCTTTTTCATTAGTAGAGACAGGTGCTGTCTATAGTCAAGGCTGTGAGCTGCATTCCTGGTGACTCTGTTTCAATAGAATTCCTTCTCCTTTCTGCGTGAGCTGAAAGCCTCTTCCTTGCCAACCATCTCCCATTGGAAAGTCTTGTCTCTGAGTAGAACTATATACCAAAGCCATTCAGGGAAAAGCTGCCCTGAATTAAGCAGCGGCAAGCCTGCTAGCAGAGCCTTGTTTGAATGGCTGCTATCTTGCCTCTGCAGGAAGCGGGGCAGCTTTGAAAAATGCAGAGTCAGCTAAGTTAGTGCAGTGCTGAGAACTGCTCAGCATGCTTCACTGTTCAATGCTATCCCATTCGATGAAATGATTTTCAGAATCCTAATGTTTCAGATGCCAGAGGAGGAGGAAGAAAGCCGAAGCCAAAAAGAAAAAAAAATCACCTTCCAAAATCATGGGCTGATTTCACAGTGAAAAGGAAAGTCAGCTTTGATCTGCTATATTGGGCACAGAGAGAGTTTCTGGAAGATATGGGCCAATCTACTGGGCCTTCAGGGGACCCTTGTCACCTGGAGGGACATGCCGGACCAAGGTGGCTGTAAGATTGCCTTCAAATTAATTAAACTTCAAACAACATTTTTTTTAGACCCCAGACCTCTCCCTTCCTTTCCTTGAACATTTGCTTTAGTTCATGTTCAATTGCAAATTCCTTCTCTGCCATGTAAATTTTAGGCCTTTTACTAGCTTTTTTCTAAGACACGAAGCCACCCCTTTGAAATGTAGTCACCAAAAAAGATGGTGCCCCAACCAGGATCTCAGTGGGAAAACGGAGCCTCAATCTGAGAAGTAATGATTTGCAAGTCATGTGGCCTCGTCCGACTGACCGCCTTGCTGCTAAAAGCTTCCAGTACTCATGCAAGGACTCATCACAGCCCTCCATGACCTTCTTACCATTCATTTCTGCAGTTAAGTTTGAACTCTTCACCTCTAAAGCTCTTGCTGAACTGTTCCTTGTCTGTCTGACTCCGTCAGGTACAACCTTTCTTTGATATTATTTAATCTGAATCCACTTTTAACTGGACTCTGGAATCAAAGCCTGGTCTTCCCAGATGGAACTATACAGAGAGCTCATGTCCCACCAGCTTCACTTCTAGTTCTTCCCAATTCTGTTACCTGGGAATATGCATCTCAGTGCTTCCCCATGGTGGGAAGGCTCTGGCCACCCTCTTTGTTTCTTTCAGCCTTTCTTTTGGTTTGATTTCTCTTTCTACAAGGTTTTATTTTGCATTTTCTTGTTTTTTTGTCATAAACATACATTTTTATTTGTTGAGTAGGTGATACATTAGAGATGATGTAAATATGGGAGAAGTGAGGTGTCTTTGAGTTTGTCAGAGGCCTTTGTTCTCCCCTCAGGTGGGCTTTAACTCAGGAGTTAGGGTGCTGGATGTTCACAGTTGTATAAAACTTACACTGAGTCAGTGGCCTCTGGATTATTGTCTCAGGAATTAGAAGAATGAAATTCATGGACCCAAGAGGGTGAGTTTTAGATGGCGTTGCATTGAGCTGCTAATCTAGGGGCTTTTTAGAGGCCTGATGGCAGAAACTGAGGTGTGACATGGGGGATGGGGAGGAGCCGGTCAGTCCACCCACCCGTGCAATATTCAGTTGCTTCTTAGTCTTGGTCACATCATTCCTGGGATTTCTGGCCTCCAGCAAGGTCATTTTTGGAACTGTTAGTTTGTGGTTCTTGCCTTACCTGACCAGTTTCTGTCTCCTTTTCTCACCACTGTGTGCAACTGCGGGAAAGCAGCTCTTGTGTCCTGGGGTCTCAGGAGGGAGTGACTGCATGGTGGTTGTGTGAGAAAGGTGTGCTTCACTGAGAGAGGACCCTGCTAAGCTTGGTGCTGAGAAATCTGGGCCTTGGGTTCCTTATGACTGGACTGATCCTCACCTTTTTTGCTCAGTGTGGGACAGTGGTCCAGATGATGAAATCTGTCCCAGTGCATCAGTTTCCTCACCTGTAGAAATTGGGGCTGAGATCAGATAAGATTATTGGGAGGATTACAGATAGGATTGTTACAGGATTGCTTGCATGTCAAATGCTTAGTGTCGCTCTCAGCTCAGGGTAAACATTCAGTGCATCTTTAGACATATTCGTCATTACAGTATGATCTTATTTTTTCCTCCTGGATGACAAAGCAGTCAATAATTTAATCTTTGGAGGAAAAAGAGTAAGGTGGGAATAGTTCTTTTGATTTCATATGTTCTCCCAGTTCTTCAGCCTTTTAACTACTTCTTTCATTTAGAAATTTTAATCAATTAATCATCCCCACTTCCAGCAAGTAAGGGAAAGAATCAGATGACAGCATGGATAGAAATCCTTGCATAGAAATAATGCTTCAAAATCTGGGCTGTAAGTGACCCCTGAGGACCAGATCCTCAACTGGCCCTGAGTGAAAAGAAAAAAGGGTTAATTTTGTCCAACTGCATGGTCTTAAAAACCCAAAGGGAAAATATAACCAAATATTAAAATTACTGGTTTGTTTCTTTAATAGTCCAAGGGATTATACTCCCTATACATTAAACTTAAATCCACATGAAATATTATTTATATAGCTATTTCTCACTGACCAATGGTTTCTTTTTTGGTAAGGAAAATGCTGCTCAGATATAAAACTTAAGACCTTGGTTCAATTCAGCACTGCACTGTCTAACTATAGTCAAGATAGACAGGACTACCATTGTTTTAATCCAAAAACTGAATGATAGTTAAATTTCTTCTCTCCCTCTCTCTCTAGAAGCCATCTGGAAGAGACTTCACACTGTGATTCTAGCCACTCCAACAGCTATCAAAATGCCTGAAAGAAAATTCTGGGTTTGTTACACTCAAGTTTGGCCTTGGAGGCCAAAAGAAAAATGGAGAGAAACACAATAGATTCTATTCAAGAGAGTCTAATGCACTTTGATTTGGACATTTAAAAAATATCTTCTGATTTGGGCTCTCCTGTTCCTTGCCAAAGACTTGTAATGCTAGTAACCCTTGTCCTTGCTTCTCCCTCACATGTCTTTCCAGACAGCAAAGACTTCCCTACTTCCTTATATCAATGCACTTTGGGAATCTTTTAGGCAGGACCACTGGTGGGGTGCCCCACTGCCACACCTGATGAGCCCATTCGGCTGGAAGAAGCCAGATCAGTCATTGTTCCAGCACCATGGCAGTTAGGGTTACCCCTTGAAAGTGGGGAATGGTGAGAAGAAGAGGTAGAAATTGCCTAGGCAGTTTAGGGTTCTTAAACCCCCCCAAAGTAACCAGTTTCTTTCTTGACTAAAAGCTAGAAACATCCTTGGGTTTCCTGGCAGCCTCATCCTTTGGAGAGGCCAGAGATGCCAGAAGTGTTTAGGATCTCTGATCCCTGATCTAGCTCCTAAATGATTTTGGAGTTACCTCTTCAGAGGGTGGAATGTACAAGCATAGCAGTAAGGGTTCATTAAGGAAAAACTCCTGGTCAAGAGAATAGAATCTCTGACCTGGGTGGAAACCTAATATTCCAGTTAAGCTAGGTTCATCACCTGGCCAAGGACTAATCCTTACTAAGGTGGGCTCACCTAAAGCCTTGTTAGAGAGATAGGCAGAATCATTTTCCCTTTAATGAGATTCCATACTTTTTCTTCCCAGAACTCCCCTCTGTACAACCCCTACAAGTCACCATGAGGTTTGGCTGGGTCTGCCTGTCTTTCTGAGGCCTGAGTCAGAAAGATGTAACTTTTCCTTTTAATCTCTTTATTGTGTCTTTCTTCCGGAAGCTGGCCAGAACCTAAGTATGCTTTTACGAATACTTTGGGCTTCCTTACTCTTTCTCTAAAGCTCTCTCCTTGCCATGTGGCTGTTTGTCTGCCATATGTCTGACTTCCATTCAGACTTAAATGGCTTTTTTTCCTTTCTTCCCTCCAGTCTTCTCCTCTGGGCAGCTGCTGAGATTTACAGCTTGCCTGCCTTGGGGAGTTTTTTTCTTTTAAACAAATAAAATTATCCTCAAGCTTAAAAAAATATCAAGGTCATTTCATGACTAAAGTTTAGTGCCAATGGGCCTATTTAAAAGATAGAAAATAAAAGCTTGAAACAAGCATTTCCTGTTGCCTAACCCCTTCTCTTAAGACCTTTAAATTTGACTGATTTAATATAGGGTGGGTATTAAGGCTCTTTCTAAGTAGAAGAAAAATGTATCATAACCTGGTATCAGAGTTCTTGTCAGAGTGATTTGCCTTTCTTTAGGAAAGCTTAGGATAAGGAACTCAGATATAAAGAAGCCTCAGAAAGTGAGGGGGTGGTTTAGTGGGAACAATGCAGGAACTCCTGTGGAAGGGAGTGCTGGGGATTCGATTCTGGATGGTTTTCTGTTATGTTGTGGAGGGCGTTTGTGGGAAATGAAGAGACCTATGGATGAACAGACAAGATTAGTTTCAGGAGGATTGACTTGGCTAAGGTAATTATTTAGGGGGCAAAAAAGAAATCAAAGCTAGAGATGTTAAGGAAAAGAAATGTCACCTCTCTGAGAGGTGATGGAGATGTTGATTTCTCCCATGTAAGGAGAAGGGTACAGCCATTTCAGTTTGAATATTGTGATAGAGATATTGTGTATGTGTATGTATAGGAGTGTGTGTTTGTGTATGGGTGCACCTGCATATGCTCATATGTGTACATGTGTGTGGAGGCCAGAGGTTAAAGTTGGGTATCATTCCTCAGGAGCCACACGCATTGTTTGTGTTAAAAAAATTGTGTGTGTGTGTGTGTGTGTGTGTGTGTGTGTGTGTGTGTGTGTGTGTGTGTGTGTGTGTGTGTGTGTGTGTGTGCTGTGACTTGGTATATGGAGGGCAGAGAACAACGTGTAGAAGTTGAGTCTCCAGGTATCCAACTCAGGTCATCAGGCTTGGCAGCAAGCACAGTTACCTACCCCCTGAGCCATCTTGCTGCCCCCATCTTGTTTTTAAGCCAGGGTTCTTCTATGGACCTGGGATTCACTGATTAGGCTAGGCTGGCTGGACACTACCCCCAGGGATCCATCTGTCTCTGCCTCCCCAGCTCTGGGATTACAAGCATGTGCTACCACCATGCCTGGCTTTTTATGCAGCAGCTGGGAATTGAACTCAAGTCTTCATGCTTGCATCTCAAGCACTTTACCAATTCAGCCATCTTCTTAGCCCCTGGGGTAGAGAATTCTAATTTCCCCAGAAACTATTCTTGCATTTAGTAATAGAACTGCCCTAATTTCACCCGGCACGTGATTATAAGGCTAGAGACTACTTTGTCTTGTTGCTGGACAGCTTCTTTTGACCATGAGTTTTGCCAACGGAGGTGAACAGAATGTACAACTTAAACAATTTTCATTTAACTTCCTTGAAAGGAAATGACTTCTCTTTTATTTTTCCTTTTTCTCCTTTTCACAGTCTAGAGCATGGAAGGAGAGATAAGTTCACTTTGTCCACGTAAAGATGATGTCTAGGAGACTGGTGGAAGGCCAGATGAATTGGCTTCTGATTGAGTGGGTCTGGAGTGGGATTTGAGAATTTGCATTATTAGCAAGTTTCTGGGAAGTGGTATTTCTGGATCAAAGACTGCAGGAGGTGATAGAACAAAGGAGAGGAGCCCGAGTCCCTGGGTGCTCTTGCGAAGCTGAGCCACCTACTGTTCTGTCTTGCCTCTGGACCATTACCATAAGGGTGGAATAAGCATTGCTCTTATTTTTGCCACAATGTTTTTGTGTCTCTCTGTTTTAACAACTTAATCTGTGTCTCATCTTGAATGTTACAGGGAAAGGTTACTTGGTAAGACTGGTGGACTTGGGAACTCCAGTGCAGCTGGTGCTTAGGTTCAACATGGGTGATTTTTATTTGGAAAAAATAATAAAACAAAGGCGATTGCTTGTTTAATAATATAACAACTTCTTTTATGGGTGTATCATTGGGAGGCAGTGGACTGAGAACATTCTTTCCACATGAGCATCAGAACTTGTTTTCTTGCCTTGGGAAAACCTGGCCTTGTGTAAGTGAGATATGTGACTTCAGTGTTGTCTAAAGAGGTATTGAGGAAATTATCTTAAAATCACTAGAATTCAAACCTTTCTTCTTTTATTGGTATTATAGTGGAGAATTGCTATTATTTCCATTTTGCAAGTGAAGAAACTGAGGCTTGGAAGGATCAAGTAATAGGCCAAGATTTCAACCCAAGGCTGCCAGATACCAGCCCTTGTGCTCTGAACACTTGGCAGTATTCTTTCCTCCTGGAAAATGACCCACTCTCAGATTGTTGCTAACAGTTGTTAGCAATAGTCTTGCTTGCTGTCTACATATATTCAAATGTGAATATCCTTTTCCTTCTGGGGGCAGACCTACACTGTGTAGTCTGGACCACTGATCACAGCTCTAGAAGCCAGTTAGGAGAACTGTTAGAAATAAGAGAATGTTCCAGAGTCTGAAAGCAAAGGACTGAGTTCTCTGGATTTATGGCTGTGAGAATTAACTTCCATACAATGATGTTGGGATCCAATACAGTGTTAGGTTTAGTAAGTAACCAACTGTCTACAGGGTCAACAAGGAGGGGGCCTGGCTTTAAGTAGCAACCATGGTAATTTTCCAAACTGCCTGCCTCAGGAGCCATATCAAATTGCCATACATTGAGGCTGCTGTGAGTGGGAAGCATTAGTTCCCACTGGCGCTAGTCCATTCATCTCTGCAGAAGCCTGCCTGGTCCTGGGCCTCTGGCTGCTTCTTAGAATCAATTTTGTCTCTATAGCCTTCTGTTCTTACTTCAGAATTTACTTGTTCTGTTTCCCATTCTTTCCCTTTATAGTTTGAAAAACACTTTTTGAATTAGCTAATCAACAGTTAATTAACTAATTAATCCTGTTTACTTTGATGGGATTATTAGGATCTAGCAACACCAAGAACAGAGTGTATCTTGAGTTCTGCACAGAGCAGAGGAATGATCACGTTTTTACATGAATTCAAAACTATGTGAGCTACAATTTCTAAATGTGTTGCTTAGTCATTTTAAAACAAATAGGAAACCCATAGCAACCAGACCTAGGCTTAATTCTATTCTGTGTACTTCAAGGGGTTTGTGTACTTTTAGAGCTTTGGTAACCATTTTTCATAAAGGGCCACATGGTAAATATTTTTGGCCTATGGATGAAATAGCCTCTGTTTTCTATCACTTTGATGTTGTGGTAGAAAAGTGGCATTGATAATATATAAACAACTGAGTGTAGTTGTGTTATAATAAAACAATATTCACAAAAGCAGACTGTGACTGGATTTGGGCTGTTGTCTATGATTTGCCTACCCTGTTTTAGATGAGGGTATTTATTTATTCAGTCAAAATTGAGGAGGATCCAAAGGTGCTGGAAAAAGTGGGGTTAGGAAAGGGTAACAGAAAGATTGTTTAGATACTGAACTTTCAAATCTCTCTTAATGAGGCCTCTGCTTAAGATATGGTAAGGATAAATAGGCGATTATGCATTTTTGAATCAAATATGACCAAAGAGCACAGAGTATAGCAGAGAGTCCATGGATGGGAATTTTCATGAAAAGGACATGAGATCTTACTTTGCCTAAAGCTTAAGAGCCTGCTAAACAGACAGCTTATCTTGGGCTGCTTTGTAAGTTCATTGGCTCTTTGGAGGGATCACCCATGGCACATAGTATGTAGTGCCTCATTTGGCGTGTCCACTGACAAATTGAAACTCATATAGAAGAGAGACATTAGGATGGTTAGGGGTCAGGACAATACCATGTATAAAAAAGAGTAGTCATTATCTTCGTGAAGCTGAGCAGGACTTGTGTGTGTGTAAGGACCACAGGACTGGA